AAATCTGAAAAACAGAGACGGAAAAAAATGTAAGGTTCTGTTGTTGAAATGGAAAATGTGACAGATTCAATATTATTAAAAAAAAGAAGAAAAAGAAAGAAGAAAGAAAGAAAAAAGAAAAGAAAAGAAAAAAGAAAGAAAGAAAGGGAAAGAAAAGAAAAAAAAAAAAAATATATATATAATATATATATATATAAAATATATATATATATAATATATATATATATATATATATATATATATATATATATATTTGTTATTAAGGGAACAAAATAAATTGAGAAAAATGCATATGTAAGGTGTCATTGTATTTTTATTTATGCCGTCGTTTTATTATCTTTATCATTTTCATTCTTATTCCTCATCCTAATCCTCTCCCTCATCACCCTAATCCTCTTCCTCATCCTAATCCTCTTCCTCATCATCCTAATCCTAATCCTCTCCCTCATCACTCTAATCCTCTTTCTCATCCTAATCATCTCCCTCATCATCCTAATCCTAATCCTCTCCCTCATCACCCTAATCCTCTCCCTCTGCTTAATCTTCTCCCTCATCACCCTAATCCTCCTCTCCTCATCCTAATCCTCCCTCATCACCCTAATCCTCTTCCTCCCCTAACCCTCTCCCTCATCACCCTCAAATCCTCTTCCCTCTCCCTATCACCCTAATCCTCATCTTAATCCTCTCCCTCACCCTCATCTTCCTAATCCTCATCCAACAATAGGAGCAAATACACGCTATTTCCCCCCTTATTCCCACCACTATTACCACACCGGCTGCCACTTCTACCCCAATCCTCGTCATTGTAATCAACCCATAATCAAGTCCTAATCAAACGCTATGGAGGTTGTATTAGCAAAGATCACAAATCTGTTTTTTCTCTTTTTTCTTTCTTTCAAAAAGAACAGCGACATTAACAACAAAAACAAAAGAGACAGTTAAAAAATAACGACGTAAAATAAATCACGGTGACAACAACAGAGAAACAACAGTCTAACGCCACAACAACGTGAAGAAATAACGATACAACAACGAAACTAAAGAAAAGAAAAATAACAACAGCAACAAAATGACAATAAAAAAGCGAAATAACGATCTAACAACTATCTTTAACAACAACAAATAGATACCTCCTCCCCCCACCCCCACAACAGCGTGAAGAAATAACGATACAATAACGAAAAAAGAAAAAAAGTAACAAAAAATAACAATAAAAAGCGAAATAACGATCTAACAACTTTTTTAACAACAACAAATAGATACCTGCCCCTCTCCCCCACAACAACGTGAAGAAAAACGATACAACAACGAAACTAAAGAAAGAAAAATAACAGCAAAAATAACAATAAAAAAGTGAAATAACGATCTAACAACTTTTTAACAACAAACACATAGATACCTCCCCCCCCCCACCCCCCACAACAGCGTGAAGAAATAACGATACAATAACGAAACTAAAGAAAAAAAAAGTAACATCAACAAAAATAACAATAAAAAAGTGAAATAACGATCTAACAACTTTTTTAACAACAACAAATAGATACCTGCCCCCCTCACCCCCTCACCCCCCACCCCCCAAAAAGAAAACGACAGTAGACCCAAAATATGACAACACAAATTCGGCAAATGCTCCAGGCTTCTCATTAACGAACCGAAATGCCCTTTGTTGTCAGGTAGAGGCTGTTCAGCGAGAGATAATTACGGTTGACACTAGAAGGACGATGACGGAGGTCGACCTTAATGGCTCTCGAGTGAAATAATACTGGAGATAACATTTTTTTTAAACTTTTTTGAGTGTTTTTTTGTTGGTTTGTTTTCTTTTCTTGGGGGGGGGGGGGGGGAGGGGGGTTTGTTTTCTTTCGTTTTCTTTGTTTGGTTTGGTTTGGTTGGATGGATGTTTGTGTTTGGGTGTTTGTTTGTTTCTGTTGGTATCTATGTGCGTTTGTTTATTTGTCTGTTTGTCTCTCGTTCTCGCTTTCTCTCTCTCTCTCTCTCTCTCTCTCTCTCTCTCTCTCTCTCTCTCTCTCTCTCTCTCTCTCTCTCTCTCTCTCTCTCTCTCTCTCTCTCTAACTCTCTAACTCTCTCTCCCCCTCTCCATCTCCATTTCTATCTATCTATCTATCTATTTATCTATATATATTCCTCCTTCTATCCCCTACCCTCCTGTCTCTCTCCTCCTCCCTCCCTTCCTCCTTCCTCTCCCTTTCTTCCCCTCTTCGCCTTCCAACAATAAACAGCGGGAGAAGGAAAAATATGAGAGAATTACTGAACATGAGTTATGAACTTTGAACACCCACCGAGAAGAGAGGAAGATTGAGGAGGGGGGGAGGGCGGGAGGTGGGAGAAAGTGAAATGGGACAAGGGTATAAGAGAAAGTAAAGAACTGGGTGAATAGGAAGCGAAAGGGAGAGGGAGGGAGGGGAGGGGAGAGGGAGGGAGGAGGGAAGGAGGGGGAGGGAGGGAAGGAAGGAGGGAGGGAGGGAAGGAAGGAGGGGGGAGGGAAGGAAGGAGGAAGGAGGGAAGGAAAGAGGGAGGGAGGTAGGGAGGGAAGGAAGGAGGGAGGGGAGGAGGTAGGAGGGAAGGTAGGAGGAGGGAGGTAGGGAGGGAATGAAGGAGAAGGTAGGGAGGTAGGGAGGGAAGGAGGAGGGAGGGAGGTAAGGAGGGAATGAAGGAGGGAGGTAGGGAGCGAATGAAGGAGGGAATGAAGGAGGGAGGGAGGGAGGGGAGGGAAGGAAGGATGGAGGTAGGGCGGGGGAAGGAAGGAGGGAGAGGGGAGGTAGGAAGGGAGAAGGGAGGGAGGGAGGGAGGGAGGGAAGGGAAGGAAGGAGGAGGGAAAGAAGGAGGGAGGAGAAGGAGGAGGGAGGGAAGGAAGGGGAGGGAAGGAAAGAGGTAGGAGGAGAGAGAGGGCGATATAAAAAAAAAAAAAAAAAAAAAAACACACATACACAAAGAAAAATCCTACATATAATCACATAAAAAAACGAACAAAGATTTAAGAAGAAGAAGAAGAAGAAGAAGGACAAGAAATGAATACAAGTCAACCGAAATAAGGAGGAGAGTGAAAGCCAAAAGCGGACAGGAAGTCAAGTGAAAGTGCCAAAAAGGACAGGAAGACAAAGGGCAGGTGCGGCTGGGCTCGGCATATGGGAGAAAGGTCAGGAGGATGGGCAGAAAACGGGTTTTTTATTTATTCTGTTTTTTTTCTCTTTTTTTTTGGGGGGGGGAGGGTGTCTGAATGACGTCATACATATTTCTCAATTCTTTCTCTCTACGAACAGGTAAATAAATGAGAAAAAAGAATGAATGAAAAAGTGAAAGAGTGAATGAATCAAAACAATAAGTGAATAGATAGGTATGTAGATAGATAGATAAGTAACTATTAAATATACAAATAGATAAATAGGTTTCAAAAGATAAATGATTAGATAAATGAATAGGTAATTAGCTGAACAAGTAGACAATTAGATAAACACATAGTTTAATGATTAAACAAGGAGATGAATAGATAAATAAATGAACCAAAAGATAAACAGATGTATATTTATACAAATAGCTAAATAGATGAGTAGGTAAACAGATAGATGAATAGGGAAATAGATAAACGAAAGGATAAAGAGATGAATAAATGAATAAGAAAAAATCACTTCCTTCTTATCACATCGATTCCCCTTTTATGTAAAATGTGTACTTTTAAGTGAAATATGTACTTTTTAAGTAAAATATGTACGTTTTACGTGGAATGTTTACTTCTTACGTGAAATAAATACTTTTTACGTGAAATATGTATTTTTTGTGTACTTTTGCGTGAAATTAATACGTGAAATGTCTTTTTGCGTGAAATTAATACTTCTTACGTGAAATAAATACTTTTTACGTGAAATATGTATCTTTTACATAAAATCTGTACAACGTTTACGTGAAATATGCACTTTTTACGGAAAATATATACTTTTTTCCCGTAAAACATGTACTTTTACGCAAACCATACACTTCCCTCTTTTCTCCTTTATTAATAACGAATACCATGTACCAGCACCACAAGCAAGGTGATAACGGACGCAAGCACAGATGAATATTGATGCTTTCCCGTCGCACGTGATAGGATTAAGAATAATAAAGATATAAGATAAGCTGTCAAGAGGGATTGATGGATTGCTGGTTGGCGTCTTAATCATTGACACTTTTTTCTCTCTCAATAAGTTCTTTTATCTATATTTCTTACGGTTATTTTATCCTTTTTTTATATCTTTCTCCTGGTTATTTGTGTTCTCTTACTGTTTATTTTTTTTTTTTTTCAAGAAGGTCTTTCTATATTCATTTCTCGTCTTTGTTTTATCCACGTTTGTTTATTGTATATTTTCTTCATGAAGTTCTTATATCTACATTTCATGCGGGTATTTTGTCTTTTTTATCCTTATCCTTCTGTTTATTAACGTTTCTATTCAATGCTTATTATCTTGCAGATGATGGTTCTAAGTAAATATAGTTGTGGATAAAGGAAAGGCGAAATGTGACTCACTTTCAAATATATATATATATATATATATATATAATATATATATATATATATATATATATATATATATATATATATATATATATATATATATATACACACACACACACACACACAGAAACACGTATGCATATATAAGCATACATACATATATATCTATACACACACACACGCACACACACACACACCACACAAACACACACACAGATATGTATATGTAAAATCTTTAAATATTTTAAATATTGTGGTGAATATTGGTATTAGCAGTATCATTTCATTTATTCATTCATTATTATCTATTCTTTAATATTTGCTTGTTCCCCTTTCTTATTCCGCGTTTCTGTGATGTGAGAAATGAAAAGAGATGATAATGATAACAGCAATAACGATGATAATGATATGATGATGGTGATAAGGGTGATAATCCCATTTTAAGATAACAGAAATTAAATGGTTGATGTATAATACATCTTTTTCCCCCTTC